GGGTGATTCAGTGCCCCAGAGGTTCCTTGTTTTAGTCTTCAAATAGTTCTGCAACTCAGTTTTGCAACCTCCCTGCCCGCTCCACCCCACAGTGATATCTCAGGGATCCTCTTCCCCAGCCCTCTGTCTTCCTGGGCTCCCTGTTTGGCCTGGAGGCCTTTTCACTGGGACCATTCTCTTCCTGCCTGGCAGCTCAGGGCTTTGCCAGGGAGCAGGGATGGGCGCTTGAGAAGGGAGGGGCCGTGTGGTCGTTGGTCAGGGCCTGCCGTGTGGGTCCCCAGCAGGCGGGCTGGGAGTGGGTGTCCTCATCACGCTCCCGGGTTCCCGCAGCATCTGCACATCAGCACGCCTCAGTCGCGTGGAACGGGTGAAAGATCCCACGGCACAGGGCCATTGAGACGCGTGAGGAGACAAGTGTGAGAAGCGACCTTCCTGGTCTCTGGCATAGCCTCTAAGTGTGAGCTCAGTGCTGTGTCTCCCCCACAGAGCCAGCCTGAGGCCTGTGGGTGGCGGGTGCGTGGGGAGGGAGTGCAGCCCACCCCAGAATGGGGCAGGGCTGCCTTTGCCTGGGTCCAAGGATTTGGGAGCTTGCCCCCAAGAGGCTGGAGCCAATGTGTCTGCCTTTGCCTTTCCTCTGCCCCAGGTATCTACGTGTGTGCCAAGTGTGGCTACGAGCTGTTCTCCAGCCGCTCGAAGTATGCACACTCGTCCCCATGGCCGGCATTCACCGAGACCATCCACGCTGATAGTGTGGCCAAGCGTCCAGAGTTCAACCGGCCTGAGGCCCTAAAGGTAGGGGGCAGGGGCAGGGAGGGCCAGAGAGCCAGTCCCACCTTCCCCGCTCTGCTTGCCCCACAGCTCCGGGGGCTGAGTCTGTCTCTTCCAGGCCTCTGGCCTCAGCCGGGAGCTGCCAGCCCAGACTATCCGGAGAGCCTGGTGCCCCGGGGGGAACATGGGACACAGAACAGCCTTCCTGGGTCGGCCCAGGATGAAGGTCGATCTCACATGGGCAGCTAGCTTGGGGGATGGGCTGCAGAGAGAGACACCATCTGCTGGTAGCACCGAGGGCCATAGCTGCGGCTGTTTCATGGCCAGAGCTCAAGTGGCTGCTTTGTGGTCTTCCCAGGTGTCCTGTGGCAGGTGTGGCAATGGCTTGGGCCACGAGTTCCTGAATGACGGCCCCAAGCGGGGGCAGTCCCGCTTCTGAATATTTAGCAGCTCGCTGAAGTTCATCCCTAAAGGTGAGCGCAACTGGCACAGCCGGGACGGGCCTGTCGTAGGTCCCAGGGTCTGGGTGGGGGAGCACACTGTTCGTCCACTTGTGACAAAGTACAGGGGGCACCAGATCACACTGCCCAGCCCCATCCCCAAAGATGGCTGTAGGGCAGGGACGAGAGGGCAGACACTCTGCTCCCTCTGCCTTGTTGATCGTGGGTGCCCTGAAAGAGTTGTCCTAGGGAATACGTGGCAGAGGGTTTGCTCCAGAGGTCCGACCTTTCCCCGGGGCTAGCATCAGAGGCGGGTGGGCGGAGGCTGGGGACCTGGGCCATGCATCTCCTCCCGGCTGTGGCTGTGGGCTTGCCCGTCAGCCTGGCTGAGCCCAGCTCCTCCTCTGCTGAGTGGCGCATGGCAGAGCCTCCTTCACAGGCGCCGAGGACACCTGCACTTAGTGTGCGCCCAGGGCCCGGCACATAGTAGTAGCTCAGTGAGTCTGCACTGCTGTTGCCAGTATTCTTACTGTTTGTAGTTTGTGTCCGGGGAGTTGTTACCTGGGTGCATTTCATCAGAGAGCAGCCCCCTCTCTGGCCCCCTGTCCTCACCCTCGAGCAGATTCTTTTTTTTTTTCTTTTTTGAGGTGGAGTCTCACTCTGTGGCCTGGGCTAGAGTGCCGTGGCATCAGCCTAGCTCACAGCAACCTCAATCTCCTGGGCTCAAGCAATCCTCCTGCCACAGCCTCCCGGGTAGCTGGGACTACAGGCATGCGCCAACATGCCCGGCTAATTTTTTCTACATATTTTTAGTTGGCCAATTCACTTCTATTTTTAGTAGAGATGGGGTCTCGCTCTTGCTCAGGCTGGTCTCGAACTCCTGACCTTGAGCTATCCACCTGCCTCGGCCTCCCAGAGTGCTAGGATTGCAGGCGTGTAATTATCCACCGCGCCTGGCCTCGAACAGATTCACAGCCACCTTCTGGACTCCCCTCACACTCTATAGTTTGAATCCAGGCCCCCGCTTGCTGTCCACAGGCCCATGGCCATTGCCCTAATCCCAGCCTCATCCCTGTAGGATGGGCTGTGAGCAGCACGTGTTCACTGCCACCGCTGTGCTGTGGGTCTGTGAGCCGGCTGTAGGGCCTGGCGCATGGCAAGCATGCAGTGACTTTTTGTCCTTTTGTTATTTGCCCATCATCTGTGTGGAGAAAGAAGAGATTCTGGGTTCTCCTGTAGATCTCAGGGAACAAAATGGGGCATCTTGTCCCTCCCTCTCCCATGCACATGTCTGAAGCATGACTTCACGGTAACTTGCTCTTCTTACCCCTCCCTCCTTTCTTCCAGGCAAAGAAACTTCTGCCTCCCAGGGACACTAGGCGGCAGCCCACACTCCAGATGGACCCGACGCCATGCCACATTCTGGCCATCCTGCCTTGGAACTGGACCCCCAGACATTCAGACAGGGAAGCCGGCAGGGGTGGCCGCAACGTCAGGAAGGCTCCCATGCCTTGGTTCTGAACAGGGTCTCCTTTGCTGGTAGTTCATACCCCCTGCCAGGACCAGCCAGCTGTCTTGGCCTCCCGCTCAATCAAGGAGTCTCCAAGGAGGTGGGCTTGGTGCAGCTCATCTTTGAATGACGTCACACCCTCGCCCTCTCTACCCGGCCCACTGCCCGCTCCCTGTCTGTCTAGACTCACCTCTCGGGGTCTAATTCCAAAGCTCTGGTTCTCACCAAAGCTTATACCCACATTCCCCCGCTGGGCTAAGTGACAGAATGCAACAGAAGCTGCCCTGGCCAGCTGCTCCGGCCCTGGTCACTTCATGATCCCCTCTGGCTAAACCCGTCCAGGCCAGCCAGAGTGGTGATGTCCGTGACCCGCTGGGGGAGCAGGCCGGCGGGACACACCCTTGGTCTCTTGTCCATGAAGGGAGAAGCCTAAACGCCATTTCACCATCTGTGCGGATGTAGTTGCCTCACTCTGGCTTAGGACAATGGCTGTTGCTCCATCACCCTAACCAGCACAGCGCTGGGGGCCTGGAGTTGACACCCTGCAGAGACGTCCCTTCCCAAGACTTGGGGACTGTGCCTTACTGTACGTGCTCAGAGCTCTTGCCATGTGGGAGGTGGGCGATGCTGACATCCCCCCACCCATCTTGAATATTTTCTGGAGTAATCCAGTGGAAGTCAATAAACAAATGCAATCCAAGCCTGCTGGGTTTTTTTTGGTTTTTTTTTTGAGATAAGGTCTTGCTCTGTCTCCCAGGCTGGAGTGCAGTGTCCTCATCTTAGCTCACTGTGGCCTCCAACTCCTGGGCTCAAGTGACCATCCTGCCACAGCCTCCCGAGTAGCTGGGACTATAGGCGCATGCCACCACACCTGGCGAATTTTAAAAAAATGTTTTGTAGAGATGGGAGTCTCACTATGTTGCTCAGGCTGGCCTCATGCACCCACCTCAGCTTCTCAAAGTGCTGAGATTACAGGTGCTCACTGCTGCGCTCAGCCAGGCCTGCTGTCTTTATGCCAGGATGTGAATGTCGGACCTTTGCACTGTTTAAAAGTATTTGTTGAGCATCTTCTGTGTGCCCGGTTCTGGGCTCGGTGCTGGGGATGCGGCTATGAGCAAGATGGGGTTGTGGCCGCCAGGACACGCGGCCTAGCTGGGGAGGTGCGTGGCAGTCCATTAATGTCATGTCCTCATAGGGCCGGGAGCAACTGAAGAGTAACAATGCCAGAATGTGGGGGGGGGGTGATTGAGGGGGCTCCATGAGACAGGGAGGAGGACTCCCAGGAGGGGTTGTCTCAGCTCAGCAGTGACAGGTGAGACTGAGGACAGCAGCTCCCAGGCAGCGGACACAGCATGTGCAAAAGCCCTGAGCCCCTAGCAAAGCTGGCCTGGCTGGGCCCTGAAGCGGGATATATAAGGTGTGACCCATGAGGAGATGCTCTACGCTCCAAGAGAACTATTCGGTTTCCCCAATTTATATATATATATATATTTTTTTTTTCTTTTCTTTTCTTTTTTGAGACAGAGTCTTGCTTTGTTGCCCAGGCTACAGTGAGTGCCGTGGTGTCAGCCTTGCTCACAGCAACCTCAACCTCCTGGGCTCAAGCAATCCTGCTGCCTCAGCCTCCCGAGTAGCTGGGACTACAGGCATGCGCCACCATGCCCGGATAAATTTTTATATATATATTAGTTGGCCAATTAATTTCTTTATAGTAGAGACGGGGGTCTCGCTCTTGCTCAGGCTGGTTGAACTCCTGACCTCGAGCAATCCGCCCAGCCTTGGCTTCCCAGAGTGCTAGGATTACAGGTGTGAGCCACCGCGCCTGGCTCCCCAATTTATATTGACAGACATCTGGGGAAGAGTGTGGGAATGGATATTAAGGGTGGGTGTTTCGTCCTTCTGAGCCCATGGCTGGAATCGCCCCCAAAGTGGTACCAGGGGAGTCCCCACAAAGGAGTGCCCCAAACCACCCTGGAATGGGGCTAGCTGGGACCCAAAGAAAGCAGCGCTGAACGCTGGGTGCCCAGTCCGAAGCATACATTAGGGGAACTTGCTCACAGAGGGTGGCAGCCAGCCTCTCAACAGTGAGAGGAAAGGGCAGTCCTGCCTAGGTGAGTCCACAGCCAGGGGCAGGGCATGGGGGTATATGAAGGTTTAAGGAATCTGGCTCAGGGCCAGGTAGAGTTTCTTTCAGTGCTTTGGGCAACAACCTTCATACCTTTATCAGTGCCTGGGAATGTTCAAGGCCCCCAAAACTGCAGCTGGGTCACAAAATGTCGAGGCACTCTAATTTTGGGTCGGGACCTAGAAGGAAAGCGGGGAAGAACCAGACACCCTACTGCAGGGATAATGGGGAAGGAACATAAAGCGGATCAGCTGCATTTACGGATGGGGGCCCACCAAGCAGAGATTCTGGGCTGAATGTTGCTGTTCTTGGGGTTACAAAGGGCCCTGACTGGTTGGTGGTTGGGGTCCGAAGCGTGGGCCAAAAGTGATCTACGCAAAATGGTGAAATGCCAGACACACCTGTAGTGGACAGGATTCAAAGGCTTAGGGAGATTGGGGTGAGTTCCCCTGCCTGGGAGGGTCCAGGGGACACTCCTTCTGCCATGCCCGTGAGAAATGAATCTGGGTGGGGGAGCCCCAGCCTCCTCCAAGCGCTCTGTGCCTGGTTCTCTCTTGCAGGTCAGACATCACAGCGGCAGCTGCAGCTACTGAGTTAGGAAACCGAAGTGCAGCAGAGCAGTCAGATCCTGGGGTGGCACGGGCTACAGGTGTCAACCCTACAAAACAAGGTGGGCATGGCCGCTGTGTTGGACAGCAAGGTCAAAGCAGCAACTGCCATCTGAACAGTCACGGTGTTCCTGGAAGTGAAATAGACGAGTCTATTGAATTCTTACTTGATGTGTAAGAGTTGATGAGTTCTAGGTCACATGCACAATAGTCTGACATAAAAACCCAGAGTCGCGGCCCGCAATCAACTCCCAGACTGGGGCCAGGTTATAGACCCAGAAGCCCCTGAATGAAGGGGGGCCAAGTCCCCTTGAGGAAAGGCCCTGAAATTTATCCTGTTAGTCTTTTCCCAGTCTTCTCCAAAGGGGCCTATATGGCCTTTCACCAGGGTGACTATGCATTGGAGAAAAGGAAATCACCAGACCTTTCAGGGACTGCTGGGTGCTGGCTCTGAACTGATGTGAATTCCAGGAGACAGACCTCACTGTGTCGGAGGAGGGGCCAGTGGAGGCCAGGTGACCCATGGAGCCTTAGCTCAGGTCTGATCCCGGTGGGCCCATCTGTGGTTTTCCCTGGTTCTGGAAGGTATGACTGGAACAGACGAGCTCAGCAGAGGGCGCGTTCCTGCATGGGAGGGCGGAGCCTGCAGGTGCAGGGCAGGTGGGGGCAGGAGAGGCCAGCCGTGCTGCCAGCCCGGTCAGCCCGCTCACCCCTCAGTGACGGGACTCTGACAGCGAGGCTCCCTCCGCACCCCAGGCTGGGGGCCTCTGTTCTGACCGGAGCCAGCAGTCAGTACAGGGGCTGCCGGCTGCCCCGCTGGGCCTTGGCGGGCCTCCTACTCACTGCGTGACCTTGAGTGGGACATTCAACCTGGTCTCCTTGTCGGGTGAGGTCATAGGAGAGCCACGTGGAGAGGGCAGGGATGATGCAGACGTGGCTTCTGTGTGTGTGGCTCTGTGCGTTAGCACCCAGACACCTAGCCGAGGGAGGTGTGTGGGAGGGGAGGAGTCAGCATTGACAAAGGGGCCCCATTCAGTAGGGGCGCCCAGCTGCCTGCACTTAGCCTTCGCAGTACCCTAGAGCCCCAGCTGCTCTCCTCAGTCTCGTTCTTGGGGGAGCAAAGGGAGGCACAGAGAGGGGGAGTGATGTGTCTGAGGCCACACAGCCGGAAAGAGCCCTATGTCCTCCGCTTCATGTGGGGCCTGCAGTCTCTGCTCCGGGCCAGTCCCAGGCAGGTCAGTTGGTGAAGGCAGGCCCAGCAGGGGCTGCATGGGGTCCACATGTTCTTCCAGGCAGCCAGTTCAGGTCCTCTCTGCCCAGACCTGTCCCTTTCTCTCACCCTCACCCTAAATGAGAAATAGTGGCTCTGGGCAGGCCTTGGCCACCTTCGAGGGCAGCAGCTGCTGGGGGTGGGGAGGGAGCCGGCTGGGTGGTCACAGGCTTCGTGGTCACAGACTGGGGCTTTGCTCATTGTCCCGGCACTCCCTGCTCTGCGTCCTGGTCCAGTGTGTCCCTGAAAGTGGACTTGGGCCAAGGAACAGACTGGCTTCGCCTGCAGACTGGGCC